GTGTTGGAGAGAGAGTGCGGGCTGCCTAGTTTAAATGACGTTCTTGAACGACGGCCTTGAGCTCTGGCGGGAGTTCCTCCTTCGTGCCTTTAGTGCGCACGAATTTGGCAAGGTCTTGGAAGTTGCGGAAAAGTTCGCATTGTCCAGCATCGTGGAGCTGCTTGTAGAACTTGCATCGCTTGTTACAGTAGTGGGCGGCGTGACTCATGCCACCGCACACCGCGCATGGTCCGTACTGTGGGCGTCGGTTGTCGCGGTTGAAGTCACGTCGACCGCGTTGGTCCTGATTGAACCCACGGTCACTACTTCGGCGATCTTGATTGAAGCCATTCTCGCGATCAGGCGTGTTTCCACGCGGTTGACGGTTGTCCGAACGTGCGTAGGTGCCTTCAGCAGCTGCACGGCGCTCGTTTTCGTTAGCAGCGGCGAGGTATCGGTCGTTTTCATCCAATGAGAAATCACCATCCGTATTATCGGGCTGAAAGTCGCTGTACTCATCTTGGACATCGTCGTAAGCGTTCGGATCTTCGTTTGAATACTCGGTGCCTCCCTGAGCAGCTTCACGACCTTCTAATTCAGCTAGTAGGTCGTCCACCGTGGCTTCAATGAGTGTCACTCTTGGTTTGTTGCGGTTGTCATCGCGGCGACGGTCATCACGCCGGTTGTTGCGGGCGTACCCATCGTCGCGTCGCGTATCACGACTCTTGGAGTATCGGTACTCACTGTCACGCTTGGCCATTCTCTCCTTGCCCTTGAGAACATCTTCGATGATCTCTTCGAGCTCGTGAATGTCGGCGACTCGAGCGTGGTAGAGACTCTCCGCTAGCTTGTCATCGTCGCATGTTGCCAGGAACTGCTGTACGTGTTCTTTCGCGTCGCGACCACTCTTCTCAAAGTGTAGACGGGCGGTCCGAGCGTAGCCATTCAGCCTGTTTATGTAGTCGCACAGATGTTCATTACGTTCCCGCTTGGCGGAGTAGTAACGCGACAGTGCCGTCTGCGTGAACTGCGAGCAGTAGTAGCGGATGAACGCATCGCTCAACAGCTTCCACTTGCGCTTCGTCTTCTTCGGAAGTTGACGGAACCAATGAATGGCTCCGTCCCGGAGACTTAGCTCAAATGGAATGCACCATTTATCGGCATCTGTGTGGGTTCCAGTCATTTCATAGACGAACCCACGGAGCCACTGCATACAGTTCTCGCTCTTGTTGCGAGAGCCTGAGAACGGCGTGATGCGATCCAGCGGTCGGTGCGAAGCCATTTTAATCCTCGGTGTTGGGTCCACGTCGTTCAGCGTCGCTAGCTCATTCATCTGACGCATCAACTCGAGTTGAGGATCTTCCTCGTCGAATGTACGCACCTAAATGTCATCATCACTGGACGAACCATCGCTGTCGACTTGACGACGTCCGGCCCCACCTTTGGGGGCTCGCGCACCGCCTCGGCGACCGAACGAACTCTCGTTACTTGCGTAAATGCGTTGCATACGGCTCTCCGAACGTGGCGTAACCATGTGCGAGTCTTGAAAGTACGGTGAAGCTTCGGTAGTGCCAAAGGCACCACGCTCAGCTCCACGCTTGGTCGGAGGAGTACGAACGAGTCGTTGGGGCGTCGGCGGCAGTGGAATCTTAGACGGATCTTCATCTTGAATCATCGGTCGACTCACAGGCTGCTTTCCGGCATTGATGCCAACAGCGCCAAACGCCTTTCGAAGCTTCTTCTTCCATTTCTGGAGAGCAGCTCCGGCTTCATGTGGACTCCAATCCTGGAGCGACATCGTCGATGGGTACGTCTCGTTCTCGAACCCCAGCGACAACAGTAGCGAAACTGAATCCTCGGCAACTTGACTAGTCGAAACCGAGTTGACTGGGTATTGAAGTTCCTGCGCAAGCGCAGGCCAGTCAACCTTTTTCTTGGGGATGGGCTTGAACAGCTGCATCCACTCATCATTCTGCATCAGCGCTTGTACGCGGTCGAAAACGCGCTTGGCGGCTGGTTCATCACCGTTGATAGGTGGGCGAGGTGCCTTCAGCAGTGCTGAATGCTTTGCACTCGCCACCGAAGGTTTAGAACCCTCGGTCCCATCGTCATAATCTTCGTAGGTGGGTTCCAGTCCCGCAACATCATCGAGCTCGTCGGCGAGGTTCCTTGAAAGGGACTTGGTCGCCCCGCTCAGCCCCGATGATAGCGTGGCCGTCTCCGGCGTCGCTGCGCCTGGCTCTGGAGCCGGCGTCTTACCTTCGTAATCTTCATAATCGTGGGCGTCAGGACCGATGTCCGCTTCGTCGTCGAAGCTCACTGAAAGCTCGGTAGCGGCTGCAAAGCGCGCAGCCGGGCTTGAACTCTCGTTGCGAGCCCCGCCAGACTTGGCAGGCGTAACTGGTACCGTCGGTTGTCCTTTCGCCATGTTTCTTTTCTTTTTCGTGTTCTTCTTCTCTTGGTAGCTCGTAAACTGGAAGGCCATACAAACAGTTCACAATGGTCACAATCTGTTCCCGGGTCGCGGCACCAGTTGTGGTGTTGGAAATCCCACGTGAACTCTAGCTACAGATGTAATTAGGATGTTCCCACAACAATACGTCTACTAGGATAGTAAACGATCGTTCGGGCGGACCTGAAGACCCCAGTTCTGCCCTTGCACCGGGACAAACTGGACCTTGTAAACTACTTATATAGGCCAACCAGTAAAATAAGAACACGCTACTAGCACGAGCAAAGCTAGCAGGTGTTTTGAATCCTCGTGGTCCCAACAGCGGAAGGGTACCAGGCACGGGTAAGTCTTTTACGAGATCACCGAGTGTTCAACACTCGGCTGGAAGAAATAAAAGGGAGGCAATTCAAGCACTCCCAGTCGTGCAAATAGGCAACAATAAGCCGTCACGTAAAACCTCCCGATAATAATCGGCCAATACACAAAGTCTCTTGGCCTTGCCGGATGAACCCTCGCTACAGAGCTTCGAGTTCACCGACAGGCATAACACACTCAAACAAGCTTGACCTGACGCTTACCTTGAAGCCGGACGTCGCTCTGTGTGCTTGAGTGGAAATTCTGTTCTGTATTTAAGCTTACCCTTTCGGGTCTATTCCTAATAAGAAGTCCTAATCAAGTATACAAATATCAAGTGAACAATGATCCGTTATGGATCTTCTTGCATGCCAAGCGTCGTCTGCACTGTCGCATGAGCATCTTTAACGGTCCGCGCCTTGTCCCAGACGGTTAACGTGTCTTCCAAAGGTCGCTGAGTATTCCGCGAACTCATCCCAACCGCCACTGAGAGTTCGTACCGTAGATGGTCCGCTGAATGCGAATCCGGCCAGTCCATTATTAATAATAAGGACAGCCTGGATTCAGTGACATAGGGCCGTATCCGATATTTGTTGAAAACTCGGAGGTGACGCCGTCGAGTCCCTTGCACCTTGGCGTCTCCGTACATCACTCGACCGAGGGTTCGTCGCTTAAACAACTTGGGCGGTGTCACGTCTTTGTCGACGGATGATAATCCGCAACCACGGAGAAATCACTACACCACACTAATCAGATGCTCGTGATTGGACAAAAAGCGAACCATCGCCAAGTTGAATTTGTGACTGGCGCACCCAATAAGGGGTACATCAAGCTTCGTTGCCACGCTCTTGTTCGTGGCGCAGCTGTCAGCCACGACAAACTTGACCATCGCCAACGTCTTGCCGTACACATCCAGGATAGCGTCGATGAACTCGATGTGAGCGTCTGCCGATTGTCCGTCCTTCATTGGAGCGAGTCCAACTAGTCGTTCGCATAGACCATCACTACCGTGGTACACGACAAACACCGCAACAAAATGATGCGTCCCAGAGATCCATCCATCAAACATAACACCGAATCACTCGCCCATCTCCTCGGTGATGGTGTTGCCGACACGTTCAGCGACTCGTTGCATGTAGTTCTTCAGCGTCTCCGCTGAGGTAGGCTTCATGCGAACTAACTGTCTCGTTAGTGGGTCTCGCACAGAGGGAGATTCCGCTCGACAATCCAGCGTAGCCAGTCGTACATGTAAGTCGTCGTTTCGTCCACGAATCCAAAAACCTCGAGGGAGGTCAGGTTTCGGCGCTGAATCTCAGCATACTCTTCGCCGTGAGTGGGATGCTTCGAGTTCAGGTGAGAGATCAAGTTTGTGTAGCCTGTGCGCTGGGCTTGCTTGCGTGGCTGTTCGCAGATGTTGCACCGGTAGAGCCCTGGCTCGAGAACGGTGTAGAAGAAAGCGGCGAGTTGCTGGGACGACATGATGTAAATCAAGAATGACTGCCTTCTCAAAGATTGAAAGTGAAGTAGGCGCTGAAAAATGGCTAATGGAGAGGAATGGGTGGCTGCAAGCCACTCGAACGGTAAGCTTTTATATTTGTATTATTCCGTCCGTATCATACTATATTATTATCCCGAAAAAAAAATAATCCGTAGTATAATAGCAAATAGGTAGTAATTGCGGTATTGATATTATTTTCTCGGAGGCCTGGTAGCGGCGGCACTCGGCTAGTTTGTATTAAAGATAGCTCTACACTTCTTTACATATTTAGCCAATGATAGCGAGCGATGGAACTTCCGATAGGTGCTCTGCGTGCACCCTGGCATCGAAGTCAAAATCTAAACTCACAGTCAAACGGTTGTTGCGAAAGGTACGTGTATGCTATACAGCTGACTTAAAATGCTCCATTCTGATTGGGTCATCGGACAGAACATCCACTTTCGCGCCCACTACCTTCTGCGACCGACTACAAACTAGCTTTCTTACATTCTCGAAGTTTGTTGTTTTACTCGTTCTGACGGTCGCAGTAGACCAAAATCATGAACCCAGATGGCCGTTTCGTTCAGTCAACCGCTCGCCTGTACGCCGGGCAATCGAGTGCTCCCCTGTCCAGCCCCTCACCCCTCATTCGACGCGCCTGCGTCTTGAACAAAACCCCACTCATAGCCTTCCCACGCCACACCGCTATCTGTATCCCTCGCTAACTACCTGTGCGCCATGGCGTGTTTGGGCGGCATTCGAGTGAACGTCGTAGAGGCGCGAGGTATCCTGGCGGCCGACATGGGCGGCACCAGTGACCCATACGTGACCATCACTCTGCTGGACTCCAAAGGCGCTGTGATGCCCGCGGGTGGCACCTTCAAGACGAACGTCATCAAGAAAACGTTGAGTCCGCGCTGGGACGAAACGTTCGTGGTGGCCGACAAGCTCGATCTACGCGTCGTGTCGACGCTGCGACTGCTGCTGCGCGACTCGGACAATGGTTTCTTGAGCGACGCCGTGCTGGGTGTCGTAGACATCCCGGCGTCGCTGCTAATTGAGCTCAAGGAGCCGCTGGACAACTGGTTCCAGCTCACCAAGCACGAAAAAATGAAGAAGGACTCCAAGGGCGAACTCCGCGTTGTACTGGAGCGACTCGTGCCCGAGGAGTCCATGGCTGGCAGAGGCACGGGTGTGAACATCAACCCGATGCTGGAGACGAAACCTTCGGCCGCGAGCAACGAGCCGCCCAATCTGCTCTTCGTGACGCTGAAGTCGGGCAAAAACCTGCTGGGGATGGACAATAACGGCGCCACGAGTGACCCCATTGTGTTTTTCACGTTTAACGGCCAGAAGCACGAGTCCACGAAGAAGGAGAAGACTCTCAAGCCTCAGTGGAACGAAAAGTTTGGCTTCTTCGCGCCCGATGTGAAGAACAATTTGTCCATTCTAGTGGAAGATTACGACGTTACGATCAACGATTTTATGGGCAAAGCTGACGTGTCATTATGGGACCTCAAGCCAAATGTGGAGAAGAATATCACAGTGGAACTTGGCGGGAAAAAGGGTAAGAAGGACAAACAGGAGCGAGGATATCTCCTGCTCACGCTGCTGTGGACGTACGACAAGGACGCTCGGGATATCGCAGCCAAGAAGAAGAAGTCGACCTTCTTACCGAGCTTTGGTGTGCCCGATCAAGACTACGACTCGGACGACGACGATGGCGTGGAGATTGACGACAGTGCTGCCAATAAAAAGTCCGAGGAAGAGCTGAAGAAGGAGCGGGAAGAAAAAGCTGAGAAGCAGGCAGCTCTAATGTCCGAGCTGAGCAGCTTTGAGATCAAATCTGGCGACTACAACGTGCAGGTTCACGTCATCGAAGCTCGCGATCTGGTGCCCAAGGATTCCACGGGAACGTCAGACCCCGTCGTGTATGTGGAGGTGTTTGGAGAGAAACAGCAGACAGCAGTGAAGAAGCAAGTGCTCAGTTGTTTCTGGGACGATCTACTGATCTTCCCGTTCCGGAACTTGGACAAGTCTGAAGTCGAGATGGGTTACGTCCGCTTGAGCGTCATGGACGCCAACACCTTTCAACGTGCAGAACTGATCGGCGCAGCGCAATTCGATGTGTCGTACATTTACTCCCAGGCGAACCATCAGCTGGCGAACGTCTGGATCGGTCTAACGGACATCACAAACACCACAAACCAAGGCATTCAGGGATACCTGCGAGCTTCCATCTCTATCATCGGCCCTGGAGACAAACTCGTGCCTCCTCCGTCTCCATTTGGCGAGGGAGCCTCCTCAGACATGAACAACGTCATCATGCCGCCTAGTGTCACGCAACATGTGCGTTTCTTAGGCGCAGTGATCCATGTGGCTGAGCATTTGCCTCCCATGGACGTTGCTGTGGTCGGGCGAGGTGGTTTGGATGCTTATGTGAAGGGATCCATTGCTGGCGGAGACGCGATTCGCACCCGTGTGCGCACTAAGAAAGGGCGACGAGACGAGCTCTGCCCGAGTTTTAACGAAGAACTGATGCTGGTTATCCGTGAGCCGTCGATGGCTGACTCCATCCAATTGGCTGTATACGATTGGGATCAGGTCGGATCGGACGAGTTGGTGGGCTACGTGTACCAGAGCGTGAAGCCGGTGAAGGCGATGGGTGGGAAGATTGGACCTTTCTGGGCCAACATCTACGGAGCACCGCTACGTCTCAAGTCTGTTGGCATTGGTGACTCCATGAAGAAGCAGATGAATACGTATCCAGATATTGCGAGCACGTACCGAGGTCAGCTGCTCCTCACGTTGCGCGTGTTGGACAACGATGACGACAAGTTCGATGAAACAAACCAGAAGCGCAATACGAAGCGCATTCCTCGAGATCTGTACCCACGCGAGCGCATCTATCGCCTACGAGCCCATTTCGTATGGGGCAGCCAGATTCCATCGTTCATGAGCTCCAAACGTCCTGGACAGAAGGCCAAGATGCAGTTGGTCATGTCGTGTGGCCTTAATGAGATTGCATCGTCTCGAAATCGTAACGTGAACGGGACAGTGGAGTGGAACAACATGGAAGAGAGCGACAAGATGCTGCTGCCCGAAGATCTCTCTCAAGTACCAGATATCTTCTTGTATTTGTGCAGAGGAGAGGGAGATACCCGAAAGGCGGTGTGCTTCCGTCGCTTTACTGCCAAGGAGCTCTTCGATGGACGTCCAGCTCGTGATGACGATAAGGGGCTTGCTGGTGGGTTCAAGAATGAAGTGGACTGGATCTCCATGAAGGAAGACCAAGCCATCGACGCTTTAGAGGACGAAACATTCCCTGGTAATGTGCTGGTTCGTATGGGCTTTGGAACTGAAGAGATGGCGATGCAGACGGCTTGGGATCGCTCCGACTTGGACGCAGTGAACAAGCGCATTCCGTACCAGCTTCGTGTGCACATCTATCAGGGTCGACGGTTGCCTCCTGCTGACTCGAATGGCCTGTTGGATCCATTCCTTGTCGTTCGATGCATGGGCGAGGAGAAGTTGACATCGAAGAAGAAGAAGACGAGAGATCCATTGTGGTACGAGACGCTGCACTTTGACGTGAACCTACCAGAGCTCAAGTACGCGCCTCAAGTGATGCTGCGTGTCATGGACTACGATGACTTCGACACCAACGACTTTGTGGGTCTAGCAGCGCTCAATCTCTCCGATGCGGTGATTCGGTCATCGGATCAAGTGGCGGGCGAGCACCAGCCGTCTCTCCCAGACCCGCAATGGCATCGCATCATGTTCCAGGAACCTGGAGACTGTGAAGGTGAAATTTTGGCCTCGTTGGAGCTGATTCGCAAGCAATTCCCGGACGAAACAGTGAGACGAGCACCTTCCATCGTTCCGAGAAACCGGAAAGCGTTCTTGGAGATCACAGTCTTGGGTCTGCGCAACATGGAGCCGTACCAGTTCTTGCCCATTCAACTGCCATTCGTTGAGTTTGTTCTCGGTGGCAAGGACCACGCAGCACAGGAAATGATCACGGAGAAGTCCAAGCGTCCGACCGGCAGCAACCCCAACTTCCTGCAGCGTATCGTCAAAGAGGTCGAGCTGCCGGAGAACGCGCACTTTGCGCCTCGACTGAACATCATCGTGAAGGACACACGTCTCGGGGGCTTCCAGACGCCCATTGTGGGCTCAGCTTCGATTGAAATGAGCTCCAAGATCCCGTGGTCCAAGCATTACCGTCCGCCTCAGAACGACACGATGGCCGAGATTGAGCTCGAGTCTGCAGACGAATGGGGAGACGATGCGCCACTCCTGGGGAAGGTGACCAAGCCTGACGACTCGCCAGGACTCGAGTCAGTCGATAATGGCGCTGGCGTGTTTGGTGCGTTGAAGAGTATGGGGGTGGACTTTGACCCCAATGGAGCCTTTGAGGAAGCGTCGTCTCGTCGGTCGACTCTAGCGGGGGAAGAGGACGATCCGAACTCGAAGAAATACCTGAAACACCGCGAATTACTGGATGGAGATCTGGAATCGGAGCTTAAGACAACCCCATTCGAGAAGTATGGCCTGCATATTGGTCAGAAGAAGAAGAAATCGTCTCTTCTGGCTGCGATTAACCCGTTCGCGAAGAAATCTCGCGGCGTTGGAGACGATACTGGCATGTACAAGATGGCTGGATACTTCAAGGGTTTGATCCGAGTCATTGAGCGAGAAGACGAGAAGCCGCTGTTCGACTTTGATACGCTGCTGCAGACACTTCCCTACGAGGTGCGTGTCTACGTGTTGGACGGCGTTGGCTTCGCTCCGATGGATCTGGGCTTGAATGGCCGTCCAGGGAAGTCGGATCCGTATCTGCGCTTAAAACTGGGCGACAAGAAGATCAGCGACCGCAAGAATTACATCGAAGACACAACGGACCCAGACTTCTACAAGATGTTCATGATAAATGCGAAGCTCCCGGGCGCCAGCATTTTAACTATTGAAGCCATGGACCACGATCTCATTGGCGGCGACGACTTGATCGGCAAGACCACGATTGATCTGGAAGACCGACTGTTCGACAGGCGATGGCAGGCGATGGGGAAGATGTACGAGACGTCCAGTCGACTGCGTTTGAAGCCACTGGAGACGCGAACACTCAACATCCCGACGTCGCGAGCTCCGATGGGCACAGTCAAGCTGTGGGTTGACATTTTGAGTCCTGCGCAAGCCCACGACTACCCTGCGATCGATATCTCGTTGCCCCCACCTGTCGATATGGAGCTCCGTGTGGTGGTGTGGAAGGCGCGTAATGTGCCGTCGTTTGACACTCTGGAAGACATGAACGATCTATTTTTCCGCTGCTGGATGGAGGGATCGGAGTACCAGGAAACAGACATCCATTGGCGAGCGAAGAAGGGCAAGGGATCGTTTAACTGGCGTATGAAGTTCCCGATCACTTTGGGACATAAGCAAACCAACACCAAGATCCCGTACTTCCACATCCAGGGCTGGGACAAGGACGTGCTGTCTGCTAACGATGCGATCGGAGAGCACACACTGGACCTAGGACCGTTCTTCCGTCGTGCTTATAAGCTCAAGTCGACTGTCCAAGTGTACGAGGACGACGAGGAGACGAGGAAGAAGAAGAAGAAGGCGTCGTCCGATGATGATGCGGCCGTCAAGAAGATCCGAGAGGCGACGGGCCTTTGGGACGACGACGACCCGGCCGATTCCAAGTGGCTGAAGCTCGAAAGTCTCGACCACAAGACCAACACTCGCAACTTCATGGGTGAAGTGTGTGTCTCACTCGAGTTGGTGCCAGCAGAGAACGCCAAGAAGAATCCTGTGGGTCAAGGCCGGTCTTCGCCCAATAACTCGCCGTATTTGCCTCCTCCGGCAGGACGTCTGTCCTTCTCCCTCAACCCGTTCAAGGTGCTCAACGACCTGCTGGGGCCTTCCATCTGCCACCGACTCACGTGCTGCTTCTGCTGCATCCTGTTCATGGTGGTCATCTACTTCTTGGCGCCATTCATCAACGTGGCGATCATTACACTCAAAGGGTAAGGCGACAAGACCAGGCTTTCTCGTCTGCGTTTTGCATACTTGTAGTGGTTATCGTAGTATTGGCTTGGGGGTGGATGAAAAGCAATTGATGCGTGAGCTTTTTGCTGTCTTTTTTTTTGTTGCGGCAACGGTTTTGGGGTTCTATAGTTAGGGAGGTCCTTCCTTCAGTTCGCTCAATGCCTCGCCTAGCGAACAATCGAGTTGGGGTGGAGGAGCTGGAAGTTGACAAGGGCGAGGAGGAGCCGCATGCTGACGAGGTCTCACAAATGAAGGCGAGTGCGTCGACCCCGACGTTGGAAGCGGCCAAGGCACAGCGACAGAAGGAGCTTCTCAGAAAGAAAAAAGGGGAGCGAAGAGCGCACGCGAAACAGCGAGCAGCTGAGAAACAGCGACGTCTCGATGAGAAGAAGCAGAAGCGTGAGCTTAAAAGGATGATCGAGGAAGACGCGCCAGCGATCGACCGAGCTGACACTTCAACCCCGTGTTTTGGCACTGAGGTCAGCACGAGAATGGAGGGAGTTGTCGACTCTAATCTAATCGTGAGGCCGTTGGGGGACTCCTCTAATTCATCAGCGATCGAGATTGTGCCGAAGAAAGTGAAAGAACCTTCGCACGATTCGGCAGCGCTCACAATCCAGAAAGCTCTGAAGAAGAACTTCAAGAGATGTCGGACGATGTTTCGACAATCTCCCCGGGTTTTCGCAGAGAAAATTGTTGACCCGCCTCCGACAGAAGAAGAGGAACACTCCAACACAATGCTCGATCCGGTACCGACAACTACTGAGCTTGGCCCTTCAAACGAAAGTTTCGCGGCTGTAGTGCCAACACCTGACCGACCTGAAGTAGTTATCCCCCCGCTCGACTTACCTCACCTGAAGCCATCTAGCTCTCCACGCGCTCGAAGCTCAACATCATCATCGAGATCATGTTCCTCATCCTGTTCTTGTTCGGACCAAGGAACGTGCTCCTCGTGCTCTTCGTCCTGTTCTTGCTCCTCCAGTTCTAGCTCATTCGATACAAATAGAAGCTCTCGAAGGCGTCGACAATCAGATCGTTCAGCTCGATCTTCAATCGAAGATCAGAAAAGGCGCCGCCATACTACGCGATCAGCACGAAGAAATACACACAGTGTTGACAGCGGACCCTCGTACTCGTTGCTACCAGACTTGCAGTCAATGGACGAGACTCAGTATGGCGAACTACATCACTGCATGACAACGAGGATCCAAGCACTGGTGCGTGGTTGTTATGGACGAGCAAAGGCACAGCGACGACAACTTGAAGTGGACGAAGAGATCAGAGACGAAGCACTTCACGACCTACAACAGGAAGGTGTCGTCAAGATTCAGACTAGAACTCGCGGAGTATTAGTACGTAAGAAGATGCCGATTTCCGATAAAGAGAGACGAAGAAGAAGACGGAGGCGATCTCAGCTCCAGTCCACGTCGCCAGCTAGATCGGCTCAAGAAGAGTCGGATGTGGAACGTGGAGTTTATTCCGATCCAGACGAGATTGGTGAATGGCCACAAGAAGTTGACTTAGAAGCACTGGACGACTGGCACGACCTGAATCAACTGGTTACCGCTGAAGAAAGCGTGACGCAAACTCAATTTTCTTGGCCAAAGATCGACTGCGAGTATTTTGTGGCACCTGGAATATGCATGCGAAGAAACCTACTGACGACTTGCGTCTCTGGATTCGCCTGAACAGATACCACATTGTGGCAGTCGGAAGCGAAGAGTGTGTAAACTCGATCGCAAAGAGTGTCGTGTTCACGTCCAAGAAATCATGGGAAGATCAGCTGAGAAACACACTGGGAGTCGACTACATTCTCGTGGCGTCTCATGCTCTCACCGCCATTCACAACGTCGTCTTTGCTCACACGAGCATCTTGCCGCTACTGGGGAGTATCCACTCAGATGCTGTCGCGACGGGACTTGGTAACCAGCTTGGCAATAAAGGTGGAGTCGGAATTGCCTTCACCGTTGGGTATACGAGCTTCGCCTTCGTCAATTGCCACTTCGACGCACACCAACGCAATGTTTCCAAGCGCAATGGCAACTTTTATCGGATTAACCACGAACTGAAACTTTCTTCCTCTCCATCTGCTTCATTATCGCCCCCAAACGAAGTTTCTGTGGCTCCACTAACCTCTGGCAGTCCCAGTAGAGATGGCCTACAAGGACTCGGTCGAACGTCCGTGAATCGATTCTCCATGCCTTCCGTCGTCAACGGAGTCTCAGCAGGTTCAAAACGTACCGTGAGCGACCTTTTTGATCGTGTCTTCTGGTACGGCGACCTCAATTATCGCATTAACGGAACGAGACGCATGGTGGACACTTTGCTGCTTCGGAATCAATACGAGGTGCTGCATGCGAACGACCAACTTCAACGAGAAATGAAAGCTGGAAATGTGTTTCCTCACTTTCGAGAAGGTCAACTGAACTTCCGACCCACGTACAAATTCGATAAACGCAGTGACGTATATGACTCGTCCTCGAAGCAGCGTATTCCTTCCTGGACAGATCGGGTGCTGTACCTATCGAATGATAAATTGCATGACATTGAGCTACTCAGCTATCGCAGTCAAACGAACTTTCGCACGTCAGATCATCGCCCCGTATGCGCCACGTTTCAAGTCAAGTTTAGTGCAACAGGAGTCGCAGAATCATTGCAATCACCTCGTCAGAGTGGCAAGCCTGACGACAACCTCGTGGCTAGTCAGGCATGCTCCATACAGTAAATTAACTTAACAAGACATGGCACTGAAAAACAGTACTCAAGTAAAGGTAGTAGCTCTAACTTTTCATGAACGTACTTGCCATTTTTTGGGTTCAGGGTTTTATTTCATGTTAGATCTCGAAGGCAAGAATTGTTTGTCTGCCTCCCATATTTAAGGACCGCCGCTATGCGGTCGCATGACGCAAATATCATCACTACTCCTGGAGCTGCAACGTGAGCGCTTGCTCGTAAGAAAGGCTTTCTCGGTCTTCACGACATCGTCGCGAGCCAAAAACCACTTGACAATGTCCACGTGACCCAAAAACGACGCGTAGATCAAAGCTGGGGCCTTGACTTCCTTCCACTCGCTTGACTTGTCATCAGTTCTGTCTGGACCTACGAGTATTGTAAGTGTCTCGTTGATGTCCCCATCTTCAGGTTTGGTGTATCGCACCAGCTCCTCGAACTGTTCCAGATTTCCATTACTAAACCGCACAGCGAAATGGTACGGGTGAGCCTCCATATCTGCCTCAGACATTAAATCTTGGGAATCGATCTTCCCAGATAAAACCTCTAGCGATGAAGACATGGCCAGGTTTTCTTTATCTTTTATGCCACCAGCACTTCCCTCTCTCGGTGGAAACAAAGGAGGTCCATCCTCCACTGCCACGATCTGAGACTCCTCCAGCATCTCAGAGCACTGTACTAAATTCCGCAGGATTAATCACAGCATCGGTGAGGATCGCGTTTAGACTGTCGTTAAAGATCAGACTGTTCGTTTGATCAGTAAGACGGCCCTGCAGGAAATCTGTGTACTCTGTGTAGCTTTTGCTCAGTTGGCCCTCCACATTCCCCATATCAAGCGCATCCTTGAACACGTGATATATAGCCCCACCGCCGCACAAGATCAGAGCGACCGATTTGAGCGAAATGTAGCGCTGCCGTTCACGTTGCTTCATCTCACACTTTTCTCGTTGGATAAGTACGTTCCGTAGGGAGTTAAATTGATCACGAAGCAGCTCGACGTTTCTCTTGGTGACTGAGGTCTCGCATTGAAGATCTTGCAGCGATTGTTTGATCTTCCCGACCCAGTCCGAGTTCTCCACGTTGATCTTTGTCACTTTCAGGTCCCATTCGATCTCCCTCCAGTTGGAAAATGAACGGCTTGGCGTCTGCACTCCTTCAGGCCCATCGTGAAAAACACGGGTGGCTCGGTCGTCAAACGCGAGGTTTTCGGTGATCGCTTCATTGAATGAAAGCCCGCTAGTACTGCATGCATCTCGTCGACAGTCAACGCCTGGAAATCCCAAATGAAAGATGATGCGGAGATCGTACACGCTTGTCAAATTCCCTACTAGCTGCTGTAGATCGTCAACCGTGACTTCTTTTGCGCTCAACAACAACGCCGAGCGATCACAAAATGCTCGTTTCTTCATGCGCTGCTGCAGAAGCCAGCGCATCTCACAGCTATCGGCGGCCTCAACAGCTACGTCGTACGCCGTTTTATGGTCGAGGCCCACATTTAACCAGTAAATGCTGAACAATCTCACCATTCCCCAGAGATGCTGCGCAATGCAATGCCGTCCAATCGTTGTCGAATGATACAACTTGTACCCACTCAGGTTTTGCAACCCTTTCACAAAACATTTGTAGCGCTTTCGCGTCCTGCGACAGCAACACGTGCTCGAACCACTTCGTCTTGAAATCTCCCACAGCTAACACAAGCGCCTGACGCCAGTCACCATCAGTGGTGCTCTCGATTTCGTTATCGATAGTTTTGAGGCTTTGAACCATTTCGTCAAACATCTTCATCTTCGGTAGAACAGCGTTCTTGTGTTGAACTGCAGCACCAGTATCCGGAATGATTGCGCTCGGATCATCCTTTAGACCTTTTTGAAGCCAGACTATAATTGCATCCGCATTCTTCGCTCGGATAGCGCTTTCCAACTCAGAGTATGCATCCAGTTGCTCGAAAAACTTGTCACGATTTGGGCCATCTTGAACATAGACTCGGGCACTCTTTCTATCATTACTCCAAAGAGTTGGATCAGCTCCATACTCCAGCAGCTCGATCGTGACTTTCAGTAAATCTCGTTTGACTGCGGTCTGGAGGGGGGTACAGCCGAGATACCCGATCGTATTTGCACAAGCCTCGCGTCGTGCTAGTAGCAGAGCCGCATGTTGATAATTGCAATTTGAAGAGCCGTTAGACCACCACTTTCGGTCAGCTCCATGCCGGCACCATTTTCCAGTAGCAACACAATAATGTCACACTAGTTAAGGCGAGCGGCTTCGAGCAACGGAGTGTACTGAAAACTGAACGAAACGGAGTGTACTGAAAACTGCGACGTTCGTTAACATCTGCAAGCGTTGCTGAACACCACCAAGGTCTCCTCCACGCCTCACGAAATCCGTGCTACTATCGGCTGAGAAATTTTCCCATGAGTGGATATATTAGGACTTGGCCAAAGTGACCAAGTCATAAACTTAAAAACTCTTTTTGTAGAATCAGTACACAAAAGGCATTCGATTATCCGTAGTGCATTTCATGGCGCTGGATTACCTGCAGTCTATACAGCAATTCAGCCGCTGTTGGACGCTCTCTCGGGTCCAACGACAAACACACATTCCCCAGATCCACCATCGAAGCCAATGCACCAGAAGAAAACCGGACTTGCAGCTTCCCCATTGCCATTTGCTGAAGGACCGCCAAGTCACGCATGCGGTGGCCAGAGCCGTCGCTGTCAGTTGCATGAGTGTAAGGCAAAACCTGCAAATCCAACTCCGATAATACCACCCCGAACGAGAAAATATCGGCCTTGTCGTCGTACCGTTCTCCCATGAGAACTTCTGGTGCCATCCACAGAGATGTACCGACTCCGGCCGTCATTGTCTGATCTACTCGCTCTCGAGAGATACCGAAGTCCGTCAACTTGGCATCTAGATCAGCTGTCAGAAGAATGTTTCTAGACTTGAGATCACGGTGGATCACCACTGGACTTAACGAATGGAGATACGTGAGAGCATGCGCAACATGCAGAGCGATTTTCACTTTGTCGCAGTCGAAGCCAACGGGATGGTGTCGGTTGTGATACGACGTGAGCAATCCTCTCAAATCTCCACCATACATGAATTCAATGGCAGCACAAACATCGCTTAGCGAGTCCACGCAACACCCACGAACTCCACGATGCATGAGTGATCAAGTGTAGCCATTAGTTTGACTTCCGCCAATAAGTTGTTGACGTGAGCGACACTCTTGCGGTGAGCGGGCAACATCCTCTTGACTGCGACTGACAGACCGTTGAAGGTCCCCTTGTAGACCTCGCCATACCCTCCCTGGCTGATCAGGTTCTCCATTAGAATCTTCTCTTTCGGAATCCTTGCTGTCGTTATCACATCGTCGTTCCAAAGGTTCACCTTGCTACGTGGACGCTTATGATTTCCGCGAGGTCCAGGGTCCGCAGTACTCCGCGTTGTAAAAGGTTGCTGCATAATCGGATTTGTGTGTCCAATAGGAGATCGGAAACGTTGATATCGCCCATCGGCCTCACCGGATTCGTCCTCTTCCAAGCCTGCTTGTAGTAAATCCCGGGCGAAAAACCAATCAACACTCGACAAAGCGGGAGCCACCCTGCTGGAACTTATAGCCAAGTGTATTGTATCGGGTAAATCGTAGAATGAGTCTCGAGTCTGATGGTAACCAGATCGAGCTCAATTATCAGCTTTTTTTTTAAGGCGTCCCTCAGAAAGTTCGCTGGGAAAGTTATAAGAAAGATGATATGTAGTTGGCCTGGTTCCTAATATAAAACCCGGGTCGGACCTTACTAGCCCGACTGGGAAGACACGCAGACCCATCGCCTGAAGATGGCAAAGCTGCCAGGCGCCCTTGGGTCGTCTCCGTTGAACTATGAAACCAAGGTGAAATACCTAGGATTCACTACACAGCCCCCGAAGCTTGGTTTCCCCACTACCCCTCCGCTCGACTTGCGAAGGTTGTGGCGATATCACCCAGAGCGCATGACCAACGGCTGGCAAGCGTCTGACGCTTACAACCGGACTGGTTTCTTGAGGCGCTGACTGTGTGCTCGAGATCTCTGCTGACTGCGGACACGCGGAACTTGGCCCACGGTGGCTGTCATCATTGATCGAGTTCGACGACCTAGAGGAAGCTGAGGATCTTGGTCCTCGGCACCGGTGTGCCCTTGGCTGTCCTCATCCAAAGTACGCTGAACTGTTTGCTGGACACTTCGAGGTTGTACCTCATCCGCGTCGTCGCTGTCACGCCGGACGGTTTCTCCATCGGGGTGACTTCGTTTCTTTCTGCCGCGAGGGCGGCCACGAGGCTTCTTGCCCTTCGCTGATTCAGGAGGTGTAGACGCCGTGCTGCCGTTCTCACGATCTATCTTCTTCCAGTGATCCGTGAGACGAGGGTCTCAGCAGTGTCTACATATCTCTTCAATAAAATCTTGATGTCCTTATTCAAAACTTGCATTGGTTCGTAAGAGTCTTCGATCGACTGTAGGCCCTTCCAGCTTACTAAAATATCAAAGTCCTTTGTAGCATTATTCCACTTGTGGCCCTTCAGCTCATTAACTGCTAAGATGATTTGCTTGAGCAGCTACGTGTTCGAGTAGCTCATCCGTGACATTTAAGCTACATCTTTAACCGTGAAGGGTGCACATCATGTTCTTCTCCTGTAATCAGGTGCTCTACACGAAAGGAGTTGGAATCGGCCCGAGTCACTCGATACGGTCCAACCCAATTCACTTGGAGTTTGTTTCCACGTTTCTCATCCGTTCGGGATCGCAAGACCTAATCTCCAACGTGAAAGTTTACGAGATTCTCTCCTCGTTCGCGCTTCTTGTTCAAAAGTCTTTGCTTCAGTCTCTTGTCTTCAACCACCTCATGCATCCTCTGTAAGCTGCTTCTCAGCCGATTTAGGTAGTCGTCTATCTGCTCGCTCTGTGGAATCTGCTGTAACTTGTTTTTCACTGGTAGATAAAATTCACAGAGGGGTGTAGGCCGTGGCAGTCCAGTGAACAGCTCGACTGGCGCTCGATTCCCAAGAGATGGGAGTGCTGTATGGTTCAAATTGGCTTGCACCACCGGAACCAAGTAGATCCAGTCTTTGTATCCAATTTTGTATGTTAAAATCATTGCTCTCACCACTTGTAGTACATCCCGGCTCACACGTTCAACTGATCCGTTAATCTACGGACTATACGCAAGTGTGAATGACTGCTTCGACCGGAGACGGCGACTCAGCTCGGCGACAATCTCGTTCTTGAAATGGGTTCCACAATCAGACACCCACTCAGGAGGAACACCGAATCGTGAGTGCCAATCCAGTAAAGCTTCAACCACAACACTACTTTCGGCTGAGTCTGCAACAACCAATTCGCAGTAATATGTGGCGTGATCCTTCATAACCAAAAGACATTTGCTGCCTCCAAAGCTTTCATCCATGTAAAGAAAGTCAAAATGAAGAACACCATTACGTGTACGACACTCAATCACCTCGCTCCACGGACGTGGGATAATCTTTCCCCCTCTTGAATGCAGACAAAGCAGACACTTCTTAACGAAATTTGCGACCACATCTGAGAGGTGCTGGATAGCGAAAAGCCGTCCCAGGTGTGCAATCATGGCTTGTTGGCCGCGGTGCCCTTGAGCGCCACAGTGCGCAATGATGCACAACCGCTGAAGTAACTCTTTTTCTTCATATGGGATCCACAGCTTGTCCTCCAGGGTCACGAGACCACCATCATTTCGATTAGCGTGAACCGGAGCCGAGTTCTTAGCTTGTATTTCCTTGAGTTCCACCAGTGTAGGCCACACAAAACAATCATCATCCAGAGGGCGCAAAGCCGACACAGTCTCAGTCCTTTGGTTTGGGCGAGCCCGAGCAACCTTCAGTCGTTTCACAGTTGGCGAATGGCTACCAGCCCAGCGGGAAATTATATCGGCCCATACATTATCAGATCCCGGTACATGCTCCACTACATACTGGTAGTTCATTAGCTTCATATACCATCGTAAAAGTTTCCCTTTAATATGTTTCTTGATCGAAACGTCCGGTGCGAAGATGTGAATCAGGTTACGATGATCACAATACATCCGAAAGGGTTTTGGCCTTAGTAGCAAGTAATCCAGTTTATCACAGGCAACGATAATGGGGAATGCCTCTTTCTCGATGACAGTCCAGTTTAGCTGGCTACCGGCAAACGTTCCACTTGTGCAGTGAATGAGCCGATGTTGTTGCTCTGTAGCAGGCTTCTGAGGGTCGAAGTCCACAACTTGAGTCACAATAACGGCGTATCCAACGCTCGAGGCATCCGTAAAAAGACATGTGGTAGCGTTGTCATCAGGAAAATCGAGAGTAGCAGCTTTGGCGAGCGAATCCTTAATCCGGTCAAATGCCACTCGTTCATCACTGCTCAGCTCAATGTTAATGCCAGCAGCCGCCCTCTTGGTCTTCTTGGTTTTCGTGAGAGCCGCGTCAAGTTTTTGTTGTAAAGGGGCAATCTGCCTTGGAATATCAATAATGCTTTGACGCATCCAATTAACCGCACAGACAAATTGCTGAAGCTCTCCGGCAGTACGTGGGCATGGCAAAGCACGTAGCGAGTCAATTCGGTTTGGGTCATGTCTGATGCCTTCACCACTTATGATCCTGCCGCACCACTAGACCTCAGTCTGGTACAAGCTCGTTTTCTTTGCACTCAGCTTTAAGCCAAAGTGGTCCATTAGTGACAGCATTTCTTCCAGCTTGTCCAAATATACATCAATATCCTTGGCATAAAGGAGTAAGTCGTCGATCCAAATCAGTAAATGGTCGTACAGTAGACTGGCAAAGCAATTCTCCATGGTCTTTTGAAAGAATATCGCAGCATCACTACTACCCTGAGGCACTCTGCGAGGGGTAAAAACCTTCTCATCGGTCATGTATGAAAGCAATTCTTGACACATTAGAGCCAACGGAAGCTGCCAAAAGCCCTTACAAAATCAAAGAGTTCGAAATGTTTCATTCCCTTCGCGTTCTCCATCACCACGGATAAAATCGGCATAACTGCTGCCATGACTTCAGTCAATGCGTTCAACTCACGATAGTATGTGGTTTGCCGAAGATCCATAAGGTCCGCTGGCTTCTTGACAGGGAGAACGGGACTCGCCCATCGACTTTCCGAATTATCGTAAGCGAGTCCTAGTTTTACCAAACGAGAGTTGAAATCGTGAAGAAATTTGCGAATGTGAGGGGGATACCGTCGAGGCTTACACCTTGTTGGATGAGCCCCTTCCCGTAGTCGTATCTCCAGAGGTGGAACACGTGCTGGTGAGTCATCCTGCAGAGTCAAACGCCATACATCGTAGGCATGGATGATAGTACGAAGTCGATCGAGCTTGTCTGCTGGGAATCCGTTCTCGACTGCTTGCTCAACCAACCGTTCAACTGCAGCAAATACGTCCTCATTCTCAGATTGAGGTTCTTCAATTCGGACCGGAGATTCGTCGGCCTCCAGTTCAACAGGATCGCCACTTGTTTCATCCACATTTAGGTCAGCTAGTTGCTCCAGTTGACGCTCCACAACAATCCCAAGCATTATTAGTACATCATTGCCAAGTATGAACTCGTCGTCATCCATATCGACAATCAACACATCCACAGCCTTCATCGGTTTAACCTGCCCAGCCGCGGTGCGAATCATTAAATGGAGTTTAGCCTTCTTATCGGCAGTCACCAACATAGACCCAAACGTATGGTTCTGAACAGGGACAGTAAGTTCTTCAGCTTGAACACTTGGGTCCAGAGCCCGGAGTTGATTCCAGTGAGAGCGGCCCATCACGGTATGGTCAGAGCCACTGTCAGCGCAGTACGGAATCTCCAGTACTCCATTCACCATAACAGCACGAGATGGAGTCGGTAGAAACTCACCAAGGCGCTTGGTCTTTGTACGCTTGGCTGCATTCGCCTCACGCAAGCGTTTCCTCAGCTTCACCTTTTCATCTTCAGTTGCATTGGGGCACTCGTTGAGCCAGTGCACTTTGGACACGGACTTGGAGGTAGCTTCTTCGACTTCGATTTCGTCTTGGTCTTGGATATGCTATTGGTCTTGGATATGCTATTGG